GTGATTATTTCTTCAATTAATCAATTAATTGGATGTATAACAATCATGCAGAATTTACTTTACACATTATAAAAACAAATGCATTCATTCAAACAGTGATTTTGCAATGTTTCTATGTGGTGCATTATTAAGCAAAAAATTAATTATCTGTTCAAGAATAGAGTTTGTATAAAGCTGGAAATGCGGTGGGATTTTAGTGATCACAGCCCCGTATTTTAAAGATACACTTCCTGATTTTTAAGCATTATACAGGTCCAATATTTTCCTACAACTGGATATTGAGATAACGTTATGACAGTTTATAAAGAAAATATTCATTTATTTAGTTTGTTATAAAGTTTATTTATTAGCATTGATCTGTCAGACCCCTCCCCCAAAAGAAACAATCTCATGCAATGAGATGTCTTAAACCAGAGTTAGCTAATAGCTAATTTCCACCTGCAGTCCCTAACCTTTGACATGGAATTGACAAAAATGAAATTCCATTAATTATTTGGAAGAAGTATTAGTGATTGGAAAACCTGACAGGGATCCTTTAAACTCATTCATTTTTAGTTGTAAATTTTATTCTCCTCTCTTTGTGAATTATGTGCTTACCTATAGGCATATTTAACATCTTGAGAGGATATTTCTAAGTATTTTGTGATAGTCACATGGGTGATATATTGCTGATGTACATACAGTATCTATATAAATAGGTGTAGATGTATTTTGTATTTATTTTTGTCTTAATCTGTATATCTGTTGAATATATTGGGGGAGGCTGTGGCTCAGGCACCAGTAGAGCGGGTCGTTTCCTAACTGGAGGATTAGCAGTTCAATTCCCAGCTTGTCCAGTCAAAATGTCAAAGTGTCCTTGAGCAAGACACTGAACCCCAAGTTGCTCCTGGCGATGACACCGGTGTGTGAATGTGAGTGCGAATGGGTGAATGGCCAAATAGTGTGAAAGCGCTCTGAGTATGCTGTAAAGCATAGAAAAGCGTTTATACAAGTATAAGACCATTTACCATTTTCATTGATCATAGGTCTCCCTTGTACAACACTTTGTTTTGATGTATTTGAGACCTCTGAAGCTGCTGTAATTTGTTTACTCGTGTGGAGATATTTCAATATAATTAATTATTAATGATAAACCTTAATGTACTTCTGGATATGTCATTGGGTTTTTAGTTAGTACTGGGTTTAGTTTGAACTGGATATTCTAGACGACTGCATGTTGTTGCTAGTATAGGATTTAAGAGATGGAGAGTGAGTGTTTGCAGACAATACATTTCTCTGTTTGTTAATGCTTTACCTCTTCCTACACAAGAAACTTTTCAACAGAATATATTTCAGATGTAATTTTAGAGATCATTGTGCTACCTGAGCATTAATAAAGTTGTCCTTGCTTGAGGTACTATGACCCTTGTACTGTAGTATATGTTTTTGTTATACATACAAAAACCTACCTGTAAGGGCTGGCCAATACCTTTTAGATTTATAAATCAATAGTCAATGAATACATGTATACTTTTATATAAGTGGCAAATGTCAGGGTGTAAAAATACAAGTAAATGTTTTACATTAGAACATTTATGTAAAAGTACAGAACTGTTTACAGTAAATTATTATTAAAGTAGCAAAGGTATTAGTATCGCTCTATCTCTCTCTGTGTATTTTAACAAGCAACAGGAGAACTGAGCACATCACTCTTGTTCTTAAATCAGAATATACTGTATTTAGCCCCAAATCATGGAGTGATATGGAGTGATTTGGAGCCAAAAGACATTTCTCATCTCACTGAAGAATACAAACCTGGCAGGGCTCTGAGATCTTTAGGAACCAGTCAGTGGGTAGAACCTCAAGTCAGAACCAAAACCAAACAGAGTGAAGCTGCTTTTAGCTACTATGCTGCACAAAGATGGAACCAGCCTCCCAATAAATGTAAATTTGCCCCAAATCTATTCACTTTCCACACCACCTGGTAATTTCTCACCATGCTAAAAACTTTTAACATCTGTCAGTAGTAGAGATCTTATTAGAATTCCACTGTGCCAGGCACCCACAGTTGTTCCTTGGTCACATGTAGTCAATCTGAATGGAAAAGTTGCCCTTTAATAAGCAATATATATCAGGTATCATACAACAGCTTTCATATCACCAGGATAATCAGTAAGTCATTTGTTGTTACATTTTTTAACAAAGGCACATCCGTTTCTAAAACTACTGTTAAACACAAACTACATGCAAGAATATTTTACAAATTCATAAAATGGAAATTCTTAAGATTATCATTTAAAAAACTTCCATATTCAACGCTCTCAATAACATTTTGTAGTATTTATCAGTTTGTATTATTTCAAAATATACTGATAATTCCAGGATCTAAATGAAAAGAATCCTTTCTCCCCAAAGTTTTGCTTATGAGAAATTCTTTAAGACAAACTGAAAGTCTGTTTACACATGCTGAGGAAAACTACTTCATATGTGAAAAATATAAAAAGCATTTAGTGTCTGCAGAAGGAGCTGTGTGAAATTGTCTCAAGTGGTATCAGTTGAGTCAGCATCAGTTAAGGACTACAAGTTTGAAAAGAAAAAATAAAATAAAATAACCTGGAATTAGAAAGAAGTGAATTTACCAGACCTTTGATTACTACAAGGCAGACTGCTCCCCACCATAGTCTGTACATATTAAAAAAAAAAAAAAACAATATGTATGTTTATGACCACCAGCAGCCATTCAATGGATGTAAGCACAAGTTCATTTTTACCCTGAATTAATAATGCCTGTATCTGCAATTTTATGGACAGGAAATGCTACATGTTGAAAAAAGAGGGGAAATACCAGTGATCCACCTCTGACTGGTGGATCAATGAGCTATGAACCAGTAGCCACAGCTTCTTTTGAAATTGTAGGCATACAGGCATATGTCAAATGGAACTCCTGGACAATATTAGCTTACTATGTGCAGCAGCCAACACTGCGTGTCGCCAGAGGCCCTCTAAGTAGAAAAGCTAAAGGATGAACCATTTCAATAAACAAACAACAAAATAACAGTTTACCAGCAACTGTAACAAGTAAATCATAGTTATACCTGTGACCTTAATAAAACTATCTGTTGTATATTTAAAATGATTGATCAAAGATTAGTCCCACATGCATCTGAGATCTGATTTCCCTCAGTGCACTTTAAGAAGGTAACAATAACAGTTGACCCTGAATCTGCATCAGAAGCACCAGCATTAAGATACAACGGTGAACACATCTGAGTGTCCACATGGTCTTTAAAAACACTTTATATTATCGCCATCATCACTACTATGAATATTACTGTGACTTGGAGAGCTATCTTTAATAAAGTGCCAATGCCAAATCCAACACCAAGGAAGTACATTTTCTTCTCTCCTTTCTTTTTCTCTTTCACCGTGTCTGTCAGAACTTTCCAACAAGGGGATGTTGACTGAGACAGACGTGTCATCCAAAAGGAGAAGTTGGGCTTTGTTAAGACTTTGTGCAGTGCCTTTACACTGCACTGTGATGGTTAAAGATAATGATCAATTCTGTCACAGACCCAGTTCAGACTGCTCCCACAGTCATACAAATATGGAATTGCCACTGGGTGGCAAGCTGAGGCTCAGAGTTTGGCTGAGGCCAGGTGTGGGGGAGGGGTCTGGCAGATCAGTGCTTATCATGCTGTCATTTAGAATGGCCTGGGAGACAGGGGTCACAGTGAGGTCGTTGAGGTTGGGTGTAGTATGGAAAGGAGCTGATGACAGGGTGTTGCTATTGGCCACATGGCGGTAGACAAAGTGGAAGGGAGCGGCCTGTGAGCGGCTGTGGAGCTCAGCCTTGATCTTCTGAGGGTG